ATATATATATATATATGAGAGAGAGCGCCCGAGCCCGAATACTGATGTGCTAAAAAAAATTCTCTGAGCACACGTGTGTGCACATGTGCAGACACCTGGATACCTGCTACCCTCCGTACTTTTCCGTGTCTGGATCAACAGCTCTTTGTCTCCCTCATCTCTGCACTCCACACCACACACCTATGCACACGAAGCATGCGTTAAGGTTCTGCTTCACAGGAATCTCCTACTTGCTTTGTGAATGACACCCGACTTCCCCACGCAGGATCTATCTAGATGGGCCATCACCGTCACCAAGCTGTTGACCCCAGCTGCGAGGTCAGTGCATGACCACAGTGCAATGTCACACTGCCCTTCAGAGGACAGAAAATACCCAGTAACCGCGACTCGTGACTCGGCAGCGAGAGACGAGGCTCTGATACACAAGGACGAGTCAAAGCTCAGCTTCGAGTGCAAGAAAAAGGAAACTACGAAGGAATACCTGAAGCAACATCATTTCCCTTAGCCCTTTCAAACAACTCTCTGAGACAGACACGGTTAGTTCCATTTTCAGCGGGAGTGAAACTCAAATAAGCAACTGGTCCAGATCAATAAACCAGGGATTGACCAGTACTCGTTTGCTATGGTCCCTGCAAAGCATGCTTTCTTCAGGACGTGCGTATGGAGATGTGGTTACGCTAATGATCTTGAAGGGCCCCCCTGGATTATGTGGTGGCTGATAAAAGGAGTCACCTGCAGCCTTATAAAGGGGGATCCAGACAGAGCTTGACACATGGAAGGGGAGCAGCGCAGTGGCCAGACGCAGAGACTGCAGCGATCTGATCACAAGCCAGGAAAAGCTGGTAACCACCAGACACAGAAGGGCAAGGGACAGAGTCTTCCTCGGCCTCTGCAGGAAGCAAGGCTCTGCAGACACCTTGATTTTGTTTGGCCCAGTGGCCTTCTGCCACCCAAAATGGAAAGTTCTGTAAACCAAAGAAAGAGCAAACCCAGGACTGCCCAAATGTAATTTATTCAGGATTTACAGGCTGAGACATGTCTTGGGCAGTGAGAAGGCAGGGGGACCCCCGTACTGCAAAGCAGAATGAAGGGGTTTATGTGTTACACTAGACAAAGATGACCTGGTAGTCAACGGGAATATGCATGTGTCTTTTCAAAAACTATTAACATGCCAAACATCAGTCAACAAATGCTTGACTATCTCAGACTCTATCCCATAGGTTTGGAATATGTGTAATGGTCAGCTGGAAGTTAAGAGGGCAGTTTAACTTTTTCTTTTTTTGAGACAGGGTCTGTGTAGTTCCAGCTGGCCTCCAACACACAGCAATCCTCCTGCCTCAGCCTCCTGAGTGCAGGGACTACAGGTGTACACTACCAACTCCCGGCTGTGGATGGCAGTTTAAAAACCAAGATGGCTATAGTTATGTCAAGTTGGATCCTCCACACCCAGCGGAACAAATTTTGGATTTCTAGCCTCCAGACTGTGTGACAATAAGTACCCTTTGTTTTAGGCCAGCCAGTTTGTGGCAATATATGACACAGTCGTAGAAAAAGAATACCGTTGATTTTTTGTTAAAGATTAAACTGTGAAGAAAGTGCCATGCTCCTTCTGTTAAAGGGATTAACAAAATTTGAAAGTACAAAGACTATCACAGAACTTAACGACATTTCCCCAAAAGCGGGCATAACTACAAAATTAATTCTATCCTCATCATTCTTAGAGGAATTACAATGAACAACAATTAATTAAAGCCCTTGTTTTCACCAAAATAAGTTAAAATACATGATAATCTATGAGAATTTTTATGGCTACAAATTAAAAATACCTGCTGCAGAAGAGAGAAAGAATTATTCTCAGTGGATACCTGATTTGGGTGAACTTTTGGCCTGAAGAGAATACAGCAAATGGGCTCGTCTGACACAGCCACTATGGGTTCACACCACACTGACTCTGTCTCCTGAATT